ATTCCTCAAAATATTCCCTCCATCTTCCCAATACCTCTAACTCTCCATTTAATAACTCTCCTCTCCTATTTTTAACTGACAAATCCATTTGTTCTCTAGGCTTTCTTAACTTGTTAATCTCACTCCAAAACTTTTTCTTATTTTCAACAAAATTTGTTGATAGCATCTCACCCACTCTCTCATTTGCTCTCTTTTACATTGCTTCACCACTCTCTTAACCTCTCTCTTTTTCTCCATATACTCTTCCCTCCTTGCATCACTTCTACTTTGTAAAAACTTCTCATATGCTAACTTTTTCTCCCTTACTACTCTCTTTATATCATCATTCCACCAATCGCTCCTCTTCCCTCCTGCACCCACTTTCCTGTAACCACAAATTTCTGCTGAACACTCTAACACTACATTTTTAAACCTACCCCATACCTCTTCGACCCCATTGCCTATGCTCTCATTAGCCCATCTATCCTCCAATAGCTGTTTATATCTTACCCTAACTGCCTCCTCTTTTAGTTTATAAACCTTCACCTCTCTCCTCCCTGATGCTTCTATTCTCCTTGTATCCCATCTACCTTTTACTCTCAGTGTAGCTACAACTAGAAAGTGATCTGATATATCTGTGGCCCCTCTATAAACATGTACATCCTGAAGTCTACTCAACAGTCTTTTATCTACCAATACATAATCCAAGAAACTACTGTCATTTCGCCCTACATCATATCTTGTATACTTATTTATCCTCTTTTTCTTAAAATATGTATTACCTATAACTAAACCCCTTTCTATACAAAGTTCAATCAAAGGGCTCCCATTATCATTTACACCTGGCACCCCAAACTTACCTACCACACCCTCTCTAAAAGTTTCTCCTACTTTAGCATTCAGGTCCCCTACCACAATTACTCTCTCACTTGGTTCAAAGGCTCCTATACATTCACTTAACATCTCCCAAAATCTCTCTCTCTCCTCTGCATTCCTCTCTTCTCCAGGTGCATACACGCTTATTATGACCCACTTCTCGCATCCAACCTTTACTTTAATCCACATAATTCTTGAATTTACACATTCATATTCTCTCTTCTCCTTCCACAACTGATCATTTAACATTACTGCTACCCCTTCCTTTGCTCTAACTCTCTCAGATACTCCAGATTTAATCCCATTTATTTCCCCCCACTGAAACTCTCCTACCCCCTTCAGCTTTGTTTCGCTTAGGGCCAGGACATCCAACTTCTTTTCATTCATAACATCAGCAATCATCTGTTTCTTTTCATCCGCACTACATCCACGCACATTTAAGCATCCCAGTTTTATAAAGTTTTTCTTCTTCTCTTTTTTAGTAAATGTCTACAGGAGAAGGGGTTACTAGCCCATTGCTCCCGGCATTTTAGTCGCCTCATACGACACGCATGGCTTACGGAGGAAAGATTCTTTTCCACTTCCCCATGGACAATAGAAGAAATAAAGAAGAACAAGAGCTATTTAGAAAAAGGAGAAAAACCTAGATGTATGTATATATATATGCATGTGCATGTCTGTGAAGTGTGACCAAAGTGTAAGTAGGAGTAGCAAGATATCCCTGTTATCTAGCATGTTTATGAGACATATGTACTCACATATTTGATTGCAGGGGGGTGATCCTGTTCCTGTCCCCTACCTCTTCACAGACTGCTGCTACAAGGGCCAAGTCTCAGCTCCTGGCCCCACCTCTGCTGAATGCTACTTTTTTCACACACTCCTAGCTGCAAGAACCCTGTCAAACCCATCATTAAAACTATGTATAGATCCTGTCTTTACCAATTTGCTGTCTAGATCGTTTCTCTTCCTGACAGCTCTAAGGCTAAAGAAGCATTTCCTGACATCCCTGTTACTTGTAAGCACTTTTAATTTCCAGCTGTAACCTTGTGTACCTGAAGCACTTTTCTCAAACATACAATTCCCATTGACCCTGTCAATTCATCTCATTATTTTGTACATCATAATCATGTCAGCTCTGGTCATTCATACCCTTCAGCTCTGGGACTAATTTTGTTGCTAACTTTTGCATTTTTTCCAGCTTCTTTACTTGTTTTATGAAATGTGTGTCCCATACTTTCATTGCATATGCCAAGAAGGCTTTATGTATGCTGTGTATAAGGTCATAAATACCTCTTTGTAAATATTATGAAAAACTACCTGTAAATCTGGAAGTTTTGCATTAGCTGCAGCAGTTATTCGGTGCGTGTGTGAAGGAGAGAAGGAGAGAGTAGCATGTGGTGAAGCCATCTGGTAAGCCTTGGATGGGATTTTGTTATCGAGAGATCACTCCTGTTAAGAACAAGGCTTAGAGAAGGTGTAAGAGGCATCCCATTATATATAACAACAACCTGTATTGGCAAGCCAGTCGGCAAATGGAAGAAGTCCAAAAGTGGGGCATCTCTAGATGGGAGGCTGACACTAAAAGAAAACTAGCATCAGGTAGGGTGGGCTCCAAAACCTTGTGATTATTGGTCAAGGACCAACAAGATTGTTCAGCTGATGACATTATTCCACCTCTAAATCAACAGGATGGGGCCATCTCCACTAGCACTCAGGATAAAGATGACCTCTTTGCTGAACACTTTGCTGCTAAGATGCAATGTCCTGTTTCAGCAGAGAAACCTCCTTTGCTAGCTGCAAGAACTGTGTCAAAGCTGTCAGAGGTGACAGTAAGACAGGATGAAGTGCATCTTCATAAATTTCTGTACCAAGAAAAGGCAGTGGACACAGTTAAGGTAAGCCCAAAATAGCTGAGTAGATGTGCAGGCCAGATAGCATCATCTCTAACTTGTATCTATCAGCACTGCCTAGCACAGTGTAAATGGCATTCTCTGGAAAGAGGCAAAGTAGTCCCTGTTCACAAAAAGAAAAGCAGAGAGGAAATCAATAATTACAGACCAGTGTCACTCCTGTCATTCCCTGGCATGATTCTTCAGACAATCTCATGGCAGATAACAGTGTTTTTCGACTGATTCTTTTTTGTGACCGTAAATATGACTTCAGAAAATGTCACTCTGCTGGTGATCTACTGTTAAACTTCTCTACTATGTGGCATCAGTCACTGGATGAATTCGAGATCAGCTGTGTAGTGGCACTAGGGACTCTTGACAGAACTACAAGCACTAGGAATCGCTGGTTCTGTACTGTGCCTTCTTAGCAATTACCTTCAAGAGCAGTTCTCAATTGGATAGAGTCAACAAGACACACTATTACCTGGAGTTTACCTGGAGAGAGTTCCGGGGGTCAACGCCCCCGCGGCCCGGTCTGTGACCAGGCCTCCTGGTGGATCAGAGCCTGATCAACCAGGCTGTTGCTGCTGGCTGCACGCAAACCAACATACGAGCCACAGCCCGGCTGGTCAGGAACCGACTTTAGGTGCTTGTCCAGTGCCAGCTTGAAGACTGCCAGGGGTCTGTTGGTAATCCCCCTTATGTATGCTGGGAGGCAGTTGAACAGTCTTGGGCCCCTGACACTTATTGTATGGTCTCTTAACGTGCTAGTGACACCCCTGCTTTTCATTGGGGGGATGTTGCATCGTCTGTCAAGTCTTTTGCTTTCGTAGTGAGTGATTTTCGTGTGCAAGTTCGGTACTAGTCCCTCTAGGATTTTCCAGGTGTATATAATCATGTATCTCTCCTGCCTGCATTCCAGGGAATACAGGTTCAGGAACCTCAAGCGCTCCCAGTAATTGAGGTGTTTTATCTCCGTTATGCGCACTGTGAAGGTTCTCTGTACATTTTCTAGGTCAGCAATTTCACCTGCCTTGAAAGGTGCTGTTAGTATGCAGCAATATTCCAGCCTAGATAGAACAAGTGACCTGAAGAGTGTCATCATGGGCTTGGCCTCCCTAGTTTTGAAGGTTCTCATTATCCATCCTGTCATTTTTCTAGCAGATGCGATTGATACAATGTTATGGTCCTTGAAGGTGAGATCCTCCGACATGATCACTCCCAGGTCTTTGACGTTGGAGTTTCGCTCTATTTTGTGGCCAGAATTTGTTTTGTACTCTGATGAAGATTTAATTTCCTCGTGTTTACCATATCTGAGTAATTGAAATTTCTCATCGTTGAACTTCATATTGTTTTCTGCAGCCCACTGAAAGATTCGGTTGATGTCCGCCTGGAGCCTTGCAGTGTCTGCAATGGAAGACACTGTCATGCAGATTCGGGTGTCATCTGCAAAGGAAGACACGGTGCTGTGGCTGACATCCTTGTCTATGTCAGATATGAGGATGAGGAACAAGATGGGAGCGAGTACTGTGCCTTGTGGAACAGAGCTTTTCACCGTAGCTGCCTCGGACTTTACTCTGTTGACGACTACTCTCTGTGTTCTGTTAGTGAGGAAATTATAGATCCATCGACCGACTTTTCCTGTTATCCCTTTAGCACGCATTTTGTGCGCTATTACGCCATGGTCACACTTGTCGAAGGCTTTTGCAAAGTCTGTATATATTACATCTGCATTCTTTTTATCTTCTAGTGCATTTAGGACCTTGTCGTAGTGATCCAATAGTTTAGACAGACAGGAGCGACCTGTTCTAAACCCATGTTGCCCTGGGTTGTGTAACTGATGGGTTTCTAGATGGGTCGGTGCAAGTGTTCCACAGGAAAGTGTACTTGGTCCATTGCTATGGAATGTCTGTTTCAAAACCCGGTTTTATCGAATACCAATGCCATCGAATACCGGGGGTCCACTGTATCTGTATGCTTTAGAATAACCTTAATTTTCACATATATACTTTTTAGGGAAACCATGATTTTCATATCTGTTTACCTTAATTTTCAAATAGTATGAATATTTAGATTAATCTTCACAAATGCATTCTTAAACTTCTTACATAAATTATTTTAAATTAACTATAACTTAACCTGATATTTATCAATGCATACAAGTGTAGGGTGTGTCTGTCAGTATAAATATGACGAGAGTAAGTGAAGAAGCTTCAGTGGTGTTGAGTGATACAGAGGTGTTCTCGTGTTTTGCAGACGACCATCATTGTGGCCCAGCTGGTAGGCAGTAACCCACTCTACAAGGAGATCTACAAGGTTGCCGACCTCTTCATTGCTCTCAACTTCACTCTCGACCCGTGAGTTGCTCCACATTTCTCTTATCTTTATCCTCTTTGGATCAGTTATGTTCAGTTTATTTTCATTTCTTTTCTATTGATCTATCTATCTATCTATCTATTTTTTTTTTTCAACAAGTCGGCCGTCTCCCACCGAGGCAGGGTGACCCAAAAAGAAAGAAAATCCCCAAAAAGAAAATACTTTCATCATTCAACACTTTCACCTCACTCACACATAATCACTGTTTTTGCAGAGGTGCTCAGAACACAACAGTTTAGAAGCATATACGTATAAAGATACACAACATATCCCTCCAAACTGCTAATATCCCGAACCCCTCCTTTAGAGTGCAGGCATTGTACTTCCCATTTCCAGGACTCAAGTCCAGCTATATAAAAATAACTGGTTTCCCTGAATCCCTTCACTAAATATTACCCTGCTCACACTCCAACAGATCATCAGGTCCCAAATACCATTCGTCTCCATTCACTCCTATCAAACACGCTCACGAACGCCTGCTGGAAGTCCAAGCCCCTCGCCCACAAAACCTCCCTTACCCCTTCCAGCCTTTTCGAGGACGACCCCTACCCCACCTTCCTTCCCCTACAGATTTAAATGCTCTCCATGTTATTCTACTTTGATCCATTCTCTCTAAATGACCAAACCACCTCAACAACCCCTCTTCAGCCCTCTGACTAATACTTTTATTAACTCCACACCTCCTAATTTCCACACTCCGAATTTTCTGCATAATATTTACACCATACTTTGCTCTTAGACAGGACATCTCCACTGCCTCCAACCGCCTCCTCGCTGCAGCATTTACAACCCAAGCTTCACACCCATATAAGAGTGTTGGTACTACTATACTTTCATACATTCTCTTCTTTGCCTCCATAGATAACGTTTTTTGTCTCCACATATACCTCAACGCACCACTTGCCTTTTTTCCTTCGTCAGTTCTATGGTTTGTCTACATAACTCTGGGAGTGTCCTCTCTCATGTACTCATTCTCTCTCTCTCTCTCTCATTTATTCATTTTATCTCATTTACTCACCACAAAGAAATGTATATGCATTTTATCACTCTGGAATGCTTAAATGTCATAGAATATTATGTGTGGGTGGGGTGGCCTTGTATGGTAGCCTGGCTGGATACCATAAGTACCACACTTGATTTATATATATATTTTTTTTTTTCAACAAGTCGGCCGTCTCCCACCGAGGCAGGGTGACCCAAAAAAGAAAGAAAATCCCCAAAAAGAAAATACTTTCATCATCATTCAACACTTTCACCACACTCGCACATTATCACTGTTTTTGCAGAGGTGCTCAGAATACAACAGTCTAGAAGCATACACATATAAAGATACACAACATATCCCTCCAAACTGCCAATATCCCAAACCCCTCCTTTAAAGTGCAGGCATTGTACTTCCCATTTCCAGGACTCAAGTCCGACTATATGAAAATAACCGGTTTCCCTGAATCCCTTCACTAAATATTACCCTGCTCACACTCCAACAGATCGTCAGGTCCCAAGTACCATTCGTCTCCATTCACTCCTATCTAACACGCTCACGCACGCTTGCGTGCGTGCTTATGAATAATGTGGCTGGCTAATATTTTCCAGAATATAAAACTGTCTGTGTTTTGAGCAATCTTGGTTATGATAGCGATGAGATCAGATTCTAAACATCATTTTTTATTTTAGATCTAATCCCTTGATGACAAGTTTAGCTTTATGAAACCTCATAAGGTTGTGTGGATTATCTCTTTTTAAGTGTATTAATGTTTACTGATAATTTGATTTAGGCTCCTTTATGAATAATTTATCACATCTAGCACATGGCATAGTGTAGATATCAGCGTTGGATTCACTGTATTGTGTGTCTCTATGTTATTAGGTTCTTCATGGTGTTGGAATTAATGCTATGTGAGTATTGCTTTGAGGGATGAGACTGTAGATTTTTCTGAAATCTAGCTCATTGGCAGTTTGGAGGGATATGTTGTGTATCTTTATATGTGTATGCTTCTAGACTGTTGTATTCTGAGCACCTCTGCAAAAACAGTGATAATGTGCGAGTGTGGTGAAAGTGTTGAATGATGATGAAAGTATTTTCTTTTTGGGGATTTTCTTTCTTTTTTGGGTCACCCTGCCCCGGTGGGAGACGGCCGACTTGTTGAAAAAAAAAAAAATATATATATATATACACAGCCTCTCCTCACCTAGCGACGTACTAGTTTACCGACGCCTTGGACTTACGACGGGCTCTCTGACCAGTATTCATACCTAAATAATGTATATTATTGCTGATATCCTCCATTCTCTTTATTTCAATATACAGAACACTACTGTATAAACATTTAAAAATATGCCAGAAGTGTTTTAAATGGTGCAAAGGTGACATTAAAACAATATCAAAGATGGTTGACACAAACTCACTACCATTATAGTATGCTCCTCACTTAGTGATGAATTCATATAATGATGTGGTCTTGGGAACAGAACTCTGTCTTTAACCTTTTCAGGGTTTTCAATGTACTAGTACAGCTTACACACCAGGGTTATTGACGTACTAGCGAGCGTAAATTCTAGCGCCTTCAAATCTAGCGAGAGAAAGCTGGTAGGCCTACATATGAAAGAATGGGTCTATGTGCTAAGTATGCACAGTATAAAAAAAATCCTGCAGCACACAGTGCGTAATGAGAAAAAAAAAACTTTGACCACATTTTTGGTTTAAAACAGTGACTTTGCACTGTATTTTTGTATGGTATTTATGGTTGTATTGTAGTTTTTCTGGTCTCATTTTATAGAATGGAAGACATATTACAGAAATTGAGATGATTTTGATTGGTTTCACAATGAAAAGTACCTTGAAATTGAGCTCAAAGTAGCAGAAATGTTCGATTTTTGCCAAAGTTCAAAAGTAAACAAATCATGCCACGTGTCCAATACACATCAACTGGTGAGTCTAATATTCTTTCACAAGTGTGCTGATATTATTTATACCATTTCTACACAGATACATTAATCTGCATAACAGTAAATCTTCTATTTTTTGTGAGAATAAAAATTCAAAGTGGAAAGCAAAAGAAATGTAAGAGGGGCCTGGGGACGTGACTGATGAACAGAGGAAATGTTATTTTAATGCCAGGAATGTCTGTCTTGTTTATTCTGGACCCTCTTTGCAAATTGGCATCTTTTGAAACTTGTATGAAATTGTCAAAATTGCTAATTTCTGACCACTTTATTGGATAGTTGAAATCGGTAAATGGTTGGTTTCTTGTATTCATTCGATAGAAAAAATGGAGTTCTAGCGAAATAGATATGATTTTTGTCAACTAGTACACTGGAATTGGCTGAAAATAGGGCTCAAAGTGGGCGAAATCGCCGGTGGAAACATCATCGAGACCTCTAACTTCGCGAGAGCATAATTCCGTAAGTTTTCCATCAAATTTCATACTTGTGGTGTCATTATGATCGGGAAAATATTCTCTATCTTTTCTTTTTTTTCCGAAAAATTTTTGACCCTGAGAACAAGTTTAGGAGAGGGCCTCTCGACCCTGAAAGGGTTAATTGAGGAGAGGCTGTATATATATTATATATATGTTGTCCCGAATAGGTAAAATTGGTCAGTTAGCAAGAACTTGTTTAAAATTAAGTCCTTTCTAAGATTTTCTCTTTTACATTAACATATTTTTTCATTTGTGTTAATGTAAAAATTAATAATTTTGTATAAAAGAACCTTAGAAAACTTACCTAACCTAATTATAACAAGCACAGTTTAATTTAGCCTAATCCAACTAAATATGTTTTAGATAAATTTACAATAATTTAATAATAACCACAATGTAATAAATTAGACACATGTGCAACACTTGGAAGTGTTTCACTGCACAGTGGCTTCATCAGTCTATACAAAGGAAAATGGTTAGGGCTGACGAATGAATGGTAGTTATTTTGGTAGTTGTTATTGTGGTAGTTACGAGCCTGTAAACCTTCCAGGTACATGTATGTGCTGTTTCGCCGTCAGCAGAGATACACAAACCGTCATCTGAGGAAGCTGATGACGTACGTGTGCCCCTACGCGCTCCAGCCGTCCCCCCGGCGAGCCCTCATTGGCTCTGTGAGATCGTCCTCACACACCTCTCACAACACCAACGGTGAGTGCTTCAATTATTTGCTGCTACTTACCTCCTCTCACCAGTACTATTGGAAACAGAACTGATCACACACACAGCTGGTAAACACGCGCAGTTGGTAGAAACACAGCATTGGCAGACACACACTGTTGGCAGACATACAGGGAGCAGATACACTGGGTGAACAGACACAGGGGAAGGGGGGCAGATACACAGGGTGAACAGACACACAGGGTGAGCAGACACACAGGGTTGGTGGACTCGTACTAAAAGCTCTTTCCAGCTGCCTGTGCCTCACATTAAAGGTTGGGCCAGGATCCTAAGCAGATTCTTACACCTAATTTAAAATTTGTGCTTTTCCCTGGTAACATGACTTACTCTCCCTCCCCTTCACACTCATTTTCTTCAATACCTAAAAGGTTACTAATGTTGATTAACATTGACAAGTGTGCAAGTGAGACATTTATTAACGAGACGTTTCACCCACCAGGAAGGAAAGGGGGGGGGAAGGAGGTATTAATCTAATAAAGAGAACATGAAACACAGATTATGTATAGTGGATTGAGTCAATTGCTGCTGTGATGCCATGGTGGACATGTTCTGCTTATGAATAATGTGGCTGGCTAATATTTTCCAGAATATAAAACTGTCTGTGTTTTGAGCAATCTTGGTTATGATAGCGATGAGATCAGATTCTAAACATCATTTTTTATTTTAGATCTAATCCCTTGATGACAAGTTTAGCTTTATGAAACCTCATAAGGTTGTGTGGATTATCTCTTTTTAAGTGTATTAATGTTTACTGATAATTTGATTTAGGCTCCTTTATGAATAATTTATCACATCTAGCACATGGCATAGTGTAGATATCAGCGTTGGATTCACTGTATTGTGTGTCTCTATGTTATTAGGTTCTTCATGGTGTTGGAATTAATGCTATGTGAGTATTGCTTTGAGGGATGAGACTGTAGATTTTTCTGAAATCTAGCTCATTGGGAGAAGAAAGTTTCTGTCTGGAGTCATTTTATAATGGTGTGGAAGGTTTTAATCTTTCTTCTGCAATTGTTGATAAACTTCAAACCCTTTGCGATGGCAGAAAGTGGAACACAAAGGGAAAACAAGACATAATTAACAATCTATTTACAGACACACTTGCCACACAAAACATAGATATTGAGCCATGGGCTCAAATTTACCACTGACATGCACATGAACAAAGTGGAGCTTAATTGTATTGCCAGGAATTTCCAATACAGTGACAACATTCAGAAAAGTTTTGTTCAGGGATTAATCACTGAACCCCCACGATATGTTCTTCCTTGCCGCTACCCTGCGTACACTGGTCAACGATAACTTAATTATCGTCACCATTGCCGAAGAGGAGGAAGGAGTGGTGATGTTTTACACTCTTGACTACACCTCTACAATGGTGAACTTCACTGTAACAGAAATACCTACTGGACGATCTCTAACCAGGAAGCATTCACCAAGCTTCTCTTTCCATCACCCAGACCAGACAGTTCCTTAAAGCTCAGAGAACATTAAGAAGCTTCTCCTCATACTTCCCTACAACTGGAGGATTGCCAGCATGAATTGTCTTCCCAAGGCTCAGAAACAAGGAGTTGCACTCAGACCTATCTCATCGGGTAATTTGAGTGCACCACACAGGCTGGCAGGAGTAATGATTAAACGTGTTAAAATCTTGGGTACAAGCAGTCAATTCACCTCAAACACTCTGATCAAGAACATCAAAATCATGAATAAGAAGCTTGCCAGCTGTGTCATTACTTTATTATTCGCCAGTCCCTCCATTGGACAATCTATTGTTCTTCTTCGCCAGAAAGTTAAAGACGACCTCTTCTTTTCTCTTCTGCAGTAAAGAGTGTTTATGTCTCTAAGATGCCATAAAGTATGACTAATAAAAGATTAGGAATTATATTTTTTATTTTGGCAAATTACATGGTTTGTGACAGAAGGATATAATAGTTGAGGTACAGTGCCCAAAAGCCCCTCTGTATTCTGAAGCAAGTTCGGGCAAACTTAAGATTTAACTTAAGAATAGTAAGGCAATAAAACATAGTTTATATGTCAATTAGATTGATTTAGTGAGTAGCAGAAAAATTGAAATATTATATCAGGTGATGCTACATATTTTGAAAAAGTCTAGTAGAGACTTTTTACACTATTGAATTAGTTAATAAAGAATACAGATTACAGTGTAGCAATTTCTAAAACAATTACAGTATGATGTATTACAGATTAGTACAATTCAAAACAATGAAATTTGTGATATTTACAAAGGAACACATTAATAATATGAATAGTACGTTATTAACAATCTACACTATTTACAGCAATAAAAAGAACAAACCACCTAATTTCGGAATAAGTAAGTGTCGAGCATTGTCATCACACAATAGATAGCTTTCTTGAGAAACTGGGTTGTGGTTAGGTATGGTATGTCTGGTTAATTTTAGTGGTGTGATGACAGGTGGATTTCTTATTTGGGCCTTAACTGATTTGCAGACAGGGGTCCTTTAGTTTGTTCTGGCAATAAATTCCAGAACTATGGGCCTTTTACGTGCATAGCATTTTTTTCACAGGGAGAGATGAACACGGGGGAATATCAAAGTGTGATCTAGTGCTCGTATTATGGTTGCATGTTATGTTAGAGTTATCCAAGGATAATTTTTTGAGAGATGGGTTTTACATTAGAGTATAGTGTTCTGATGAAATAGTAGGCACTAGCCATAAAAAGTGTGGATGTTTTGTATATATTAGCCAGTTGAGACTTGAAAAGAGGTAGGAAGTGTGCTGGCTAATGCAGGAGTTAGTAATCAATTTCGCACTGCAGCTTTTTTGCTGGGTTATTAAAGGCTTAAGGTGATTTGCAATGGTTGAACCCCATGCTTACAAATACCAAGGTTGGTAAGGGTAAATGATAGAAGTGGTACAAAGCTAGAAGAGCTGATTGGGGTACATAAATAATCATTGAGTCTCATTAATGTTTGTATATTACCATTAATTACACGTTTTCAATTAATCCGTGTAATGATATTGTTTTTCTAAAAATTATATAATAAACATGAGTAAACGTACATATAAAGGATGATTAAATACACCCCACAATTAGAATAAATTAACATAAATATGGATAGAGGTTGTAGACAGCAACCCCCAGGGAAGTACTACCGTCCTGCCAGATGACTTGTGAAACCAAAACCTTAACGCGTTGCATGATGTGTAGATTGCTTGTATCTTTTTCTGTCTCCATAACATCGCTACAGATAACAGGGATATCTTGCTACTCTACTTTACACTTTGGTCACACTTCACAGACCGCACACGCATATATAAATATAACATACATCTAGGATTTTATCTATTTCTCCTTTCTAATAGCATCTTGTTCTTTTTTATTTCTTCTATTGTCCATGGGGAAGTGGAAAAGAATCTTTCCTCCGTAAGCCATGCGTGTAGTATGAGGCGACTAAAATGCCGTGGGGGTGAGGGAAGCAATGTGCTTAGTAACCCAGTTCGTTTTCTCCTGTATACAAAGTTACTAAAAAAGAGAAGAAGAAAAACTTTTAAAACTGGGTTACTAAATGTGCGGGATGTAGTGCGGATGACAAGAAACAGATGATTGCTGATGTTATTAATGAAAAGAAGTTGGATGTCATGGCTCCTAAGCGAAACAAAGCTGAAGTGGTGAGAGAGTTTTCATTGGGGGGAAATAAATGGGATTAAATCTGGAGTATCTGAGAGAGTTATGAGCAAAGAAGGTAGCAGTAATGTTTAAATGACAGTTATGAAGGATAAAAGATAATAAGAATGTGTAAATCAAGAAAATATGTGGTGAATTAAAGTAAGAGGTTGATGCGAGACATTGGGTCCATAATAAGCGTGTATGCCCTGGAGAAAGAGGAATGCAGAGGAGAGAGAGAGATTTTGGGAGATGTTAGTTGAATGTATAAGGATCTCATGAACCAAGTGAATAGAGTAATTGTGGGTAGGGGACTTGAATGGCGTAAAGTAGAGAAACTTTTAGAGAGGGTGTGGTAGGTAAGTTTGGGTGCCAGGTGTACAATGGAAAATGGGAGCCCTGATTGAACTTGTATAGAATAGGGGTTTAGTATAGGTAATCTACATATTTTAAGAAAAAGAGGATAAATAAGTATACACGAGTATGAATGATAGTGGCGAAAGACAGTATTTGTTGGATTATGTATTGGTATTATAAAAGACTGTTGAGTAGACTTACAGGATGTTCTACATGTTTTAAGAGGGGCCACAGATATAGGTCAATCACTCTTCTAGTGTAGCTACACTGAGATTAAAAGGGTAAAGGGATACAAGGAGAATAAAGCATCAGGGAAGAGAGAGAGGTGAAGGTTTATAAACTAAAGAGAGGCAGTTAGGGTAAGATAATAAACAGCTATAGGAGGATAGATGGGCATATGAGAGCATAGGCAATGGGTCGAAGAGGTATGGGTAGGTTTAAAAATGTAGTGTTAGAGTAGTCAGCAGGAAGTTTGTGGTTACAAGGAAAGTGGAGGGGCAGGAGGGAAGAGAGCGATTGGTGAATGATGAGTAAAGAGGATAGTAAGGGAGAAAAATTTAGCTAGTTAGAAGTTTTTACCACCAGTAAGAAGTGATGCAAGGAGGAAGAGATATATGGAGAAAAAGAGAGAAGTTAAGAGAAGTGGTGAATGCAAATGTAAAAAGAGAGCAAATGAGAGAGTGGGTGAGATGTTATCAACAAATTTTGTTGAAAATAAGAAAAAGTTTTGTGAGTGAGATTAACAAGTTTAAGAAAGCCAAGAGAACTAATGGATTTGTCAGTTAAAAATAGGAGAGAGAGTTATTAAATGAGAGGTAGAGGTATTTGGAAGATGGAAGGAATATTTTGAGAATAGTTAAATGTTTGATGAAGATAGGAGCTTGTGAAATCGTGTATAGGGCAAGGAGGAATAACATCTAGTAGGAGGAGGAAGAGCCAGTGTGCGTGTGGGGAAGTTCGTGAGGCAGTAGGTTAAAAATGAAAGGGGTAAGGCAGCCGGGATTGACATGATAAATATAAAAAGATAAAAGCAGGTGGGATATAGTTTTTGGAGAGTGGTTGGTGCAATTATTTTAATAAAATGTATGGAAGAGGGTAAGGTACTAGGGATTGCAGAGAGCTTGCATAGTTCCTTTGTATAAAGCAAAGGGGATAAAAGAGGAGTGCACAAAAATTATAGGGGGATAATCTGTTGAGTTGTACTGGTAAAGTGTATGGTAAGTTATAATATGAAAAGAATTAAGAGAAGTAAGACGGATAAATATGA